AAACTGGAGCCTTCCTTCAAGCCAAATTGCGTAAGAGCATGCGCCACCCACACCGTTGCCCTTTCGAGGTTGATACAAAACATCCGTCACATACATGTCGACCACCAACCGTCTAATATCTTCCACCACATTGCCAATGTTGCTCCACCAATCCATTCTGCCATTAAGCATTGAAACAGATCTTGAGAGGCAGTTGGAAGTATAAAACAATTAAAACCCAAAAAGCCTATCATCAATAAACATTCCCGTATGGCCACTATCTCCCTCCCCAAAACATCCAACCCCTGCGGCCCTATAGCAGCGAAACCACAAAAGAAAATTCATTTCATCAACTTATGGAGACAAGTAACACTTTTGAACTAAACATACAAGGTTGCTATTTTATGCTTTTTAAATATTGAAAGAGTCATATATCTACAATGTTCTCATTTCGAAACAAAAGTATCAATCAACAACATCTATACGGAGTGTTCCTTCTTTATTCTCTGACGAGAACACAGGAATTTAATTAATATGACTTACCATAATGATAATAGCTTGTTGATGACAATGAAATAGAAGTTTCTTACTGAGAAGATCCTTGGACAGAAGAGCTTCCCGATGTGCTCGCTTCGCTAGACAGCCTTACCTGAGGTGATCCAATGTACTTATGCGGGACATGGGCTATTTTCGACCAATCCTCACCACTACCTTGTCTGCATCTTTCCTCAAGCTTAGGACATTCTTGAATAGAGAGGTGCTGGAGTTTAGTGAGAAGCTTGAAACCCAGTGGCAGTAGTGTCAAATTTGGACAATGATATATGGTCAAAGATCTAAGAGAAGCAAGATCCTCAAACCATTCTGGCAAAGCTGTTAGATTGTCGCAGCTACTAATTTCCAAGCAGTGCAGGGTCTTGACATTTTGCAACCCTTCTGGCAGAGAATCAAACCAAGGACAGTTCTGAACCATCAAACTTCGAAGGGAGGAGAGGTGTTGCACACCTGCTGGAAAAGAACCAAGTTTTGGACAGTCCATGATGGTCAAGTCCTCAAGCAATGTGAGCTGTTCCAAACTCAACAATAGAGAAGTCAGCTCACTGCAGTTTTCAATGGACAAAGTTCGAAGTGAAGCCAAACCTGCAATTCCACCATCTGGCAGGGATGTTAGACTGCCACAGCCACTAATCTCCAGTGACTCCAGAGCTTTCAAGTTCTGTAAACTTCGTGGTAGAGAGGACAACTTTTCACACCAACGAATGGTCAATGATTTTAGAGAACTAAGGTTTTGGATCTCCAAAGGCATTGAATGAAGCTTGGGGCAGGACACAATCTTCAAGGAAGACAGACTAGCTGATCCAAAGAGCCCTTCCGGGAGAGACACTAGGTCTGGAATTTTGTCAAGAATAAGAACAGATAGCAAACTTAAATATGCTATGGGTACCATCGTAGGATTACATTCCCGTAGCTCCAAATGTTGAAGGGACTGAGGTTATGGTATATGTGCTAACTTGGGGCAACTCTTTACAGTTAATTTCTTCAATCTACGAAATGCATTTCCATCATTTGCACTTGACCACTCTTTCAAGTTTGCAAAATCACTTACTGATAGTTCTTCGAGTGATGGAAACCATATGTTTGTACCGTCACCATAGAACTCTGTACCAATGCTCTTCACGCCATGCATTCCTTGCAGAGAAAGCGTCTTAAGTAGCGGAAGATTCCCAACGGCTGGAAGATGTTCACAACTTCTACAGTTGGTGAAATCAGCAGCGACAAGATTTGGGAGAGCCCAATCAGGAAATTTGGTTCCTGGGTACCCATTTATAACTAGATTTTTCAGATTTTCATGTGGTTGTAGGCATCTAATAAGTTGTTTAGCTTGCAGCGCTATATGTGGTCCTGCGACACCTACTTCAGCTGGGGCATTAGGTGGTTTGGCGAATGAATCTTTAAATCCCGGAATAAAACCCCAGTATAATCCCAATGACTCAAGATTTTTCTTCATGAACAGTTGTCCTTCGTCTGCTGGTGTAGCATATCCAATATTCTCCAAGCGAGTAATATTCAACTCCCCATGAAGATTTAAACCACGCAGCATACCGAGAATCCCGGAATTCCATGTTCTCAACCACACATACGGTTCACTCCCCTTCGGCAATTTCCCCGAGACAAAAAGTGGCAATGTCTGAAGTTGATGTAAGCTTCTAATACAAGAAGGCATATATGTCAAACTTACACATCCACTTAAGTTAAGATGTCTTAAGCCGGTCAAGCTTTTCAAAATTGGCAAAGATTCAAGATTATGACAACAAATTAGGTTTAAGGTTTGCAAAGAAAAGAGATATTGTATGTTTTCAGGTAACTTGGAGATGCGCGTGCAAGACAAGTCAAGATACCTCAAACATATCAAGTCACCCAAGGAATTTGGCAGATCAACAAGATCACAGTTGTTGAGATCTAGCACTCGCAGGTATTCAAAACTTGAATAAATTTTATCTCCGTCCTGTAACGAGCCAGAATCTCCGATCAATAAGAGAGTTCGCAAATGTTTTGCTTCATATAGAGTTTCTGGAATTTTTATTCTTGCACCATATTGATAAACAACAGATGCGTGGCGAATCTCTGTTGGTGGCCAATTTTGTGGCCGACCCTGTTCAAGTACCACATATTCTTTTCCTGCAACATATCGTGCAAGATCATGAATGATATCATTCATCTTGTATTCAATTATTTCTCCACTGTCATGTAGCCATACTTCTTGCAAGAAAGATATCCACAAAAATTCGGAAAAGTATTCCTCACCAATGTCTTCAGGCCGCTTGCTTCCTTCGTTTGGAATGAAGCCTTCTGCCATCCATAGATGAATCAACTTCCGCTTCTTGAACTCATAATTTTTGGGAAATAATGAGAAGAATGCAAAGCATTGTCTAAGATGTGCTGGTAGACTCAACATCAGGGCAGGGAAAACTTTATGTTGGCTTTCACATGATTCCCAGAGTTCACAATCTCGCATAAATAACCATTGTTTTTCTTCTCTTTTCAAGCGCATTGAGCTTCCCAAACTTTTTGCAGCTAACGGCACTCCTCCAACTTTTTTGATAATCTCCTTTCCAATCCGTGTAAGATTTGGATACTTCTCTTCTTCGCCGCATCGAAATGCCCGGTCCTTGAACAAAGACCAGCAATCATCATCCTCCAAACCATTTAAATAAAATGGTGAATTTGGGAAGTCCATCATGAATGGAATTTTTTGACTGCGGGTGGTGACAATGATTTTGCATCCATCAAGACCCCCTCTAAACAAAGCTCTTAGTTTGTCCCAATCATCCTGGTCTTCCGTCCAAACATCATCTAACACAATCAGGCATCTTTTCTTCCGTAGCAATTTTGAAAGCCGAGACTGAAGTAGTTCAATCTCCGACAACTTGCATTCATCCTCTGTTGCACACTCAATGGCTGCCTTCATAATCTTCTTGACATTGAAATCCTCAGAAACAAAAATCCATATTCTAGAGTCGAAGTGTTGGACTACCCTCTCATCGTTATATGCCAACTGAGTAAGAGTGGTCTTGCCAATTCCTCCAATACCAATTATTGGAATACAAGTTGCATATCCATCCGGGGAAGTTTCCAAAGACAGTAACAATTTGACTAACTTCTCTTTCTCATCATCTCTTCCATATATCTTTGAGTCGTCGACGCAAGAGTCAGTCTCCCTTTGGATAGATCGTCGATCTCCTATGCTAGGCTCTCTAAAATTAAATGTCGAGAGTCCCTCATTTATCGTCTTTTCTAATCTGTGGATTGTCTTTTTAATTTTTTCAGCTTTTGGATAGAAAGGTTTAGTTAAAAACTCAGCAAACCTGATGGTTTTGGATGATTGGAACAAACTCACATATTTGTCCAGAAGGTCCTCAGCATCAGAAGCAGCATTCTTGAGGTTTGACAACCAAAGCCTAACATATTTGTTGGTTAATTGTTGATCCTCTGCAGCTTGAAGAATAGCTTGAACCCTTTTTAATGAATCTTGTAGGCTGTCGCGGTTGTCCTCAACACCCCAGATATCAGCAAGTGCTTCTAAGGCTGGGGAGGCCAATCTGTCAAAGATCACTTGCAAAGCAGGGGATAAAACTATGCTTGCTGCTTCCATTTCTAGCTGCGGCAAGGCTGAGATGGTGGCAAAAATGGTGAGAATAGTTGGATCTGGAAATGGAATGATCTGAACAAGTGGAGATTTTCAATTTGATTGATGTTCAAAAGCAAGAACATATGTGATTCACACTCAAAGTCAAGGTCTATCATCTATCCTAATCACTATTCTCGTGATCCCTCTTTGAAAAACTTGCATCCAATTACATCATTTCTATCCTCTTTTTCCGCAGAAATTTCCTTACTAACCTTACCAACAAAAGGAAGACATTTTTCCACCTTCATCATTGATTACGACGTATTATTTTTGTCAACATACCATTAAATGCTATGTTTTGTAACCTCCCTATCTTAAGGGATGCATGTTGTAAGATTGTGGTATCCCATTCAAATCTGAAGCATTAACCTAGAAATGAAGATAAAGAAATACAGAGCTTACTCTCTTTATTTTGTCTATTTCACAACACATTATCAACACCAACGTCGCTTTGATATATTTTATTTACTTCTGAATTTTCTCAACTAAGGGTTATGTGGTTATTTTCTATCTCCTCATAAGATGATAACCTTTGAAGATGATCCACCATCTATGGTAGGTTGAATATCAAGATCTTACATCTCTAGTTTTCTAATCCAAATTAGTATTAGCACGGCCCCTCTTTGAAAACTTTCCACCCAACCATACATTGACAAGCACAAAGGTCCAAATACTGGGCCACTAGAAATCCTAAGCTAAGAGTAAGGTTCTTGAAAAAAGGAGTGATACAGGTATGTAATAGGCTAGGGCCAAACAAATAGAAAATAAAGTCTAGGGTCTGGAATTAAAGTATTCTAATGCATCTGGTGTATTTACTTAATGCTTGTATGTTTTTCACCTTTTCTTGAGCTCAATCATCTCCTTTTCTTTTCCTATCTTTTTTCTCATTCATTCAAACTTATTGAAACAAAACTCAACAGTTGAATTTTTGTTGAGTTTATAGTTGTGTTTTTGATCTGTTTCAAAAGTAGAGATTTTGTACAGGAGATATATAAGAATCTCTCCCTTTAAGCAATATTTCTTCAGTAAGAAAAGAACGTTGAGTTCAAAGTGTAATACCCCCAAAAATTCAAAGTGGATTTTCATATTTCAGTGAAAAATAATATTATGGTGGAAAATGATTATGGGTATTTTATCAAGTGATTGTGGATGAAGATTATGAAATTAAGTGTGTTTAATTTCAAGTTGGACAAAGTGACCAAAATACCCCTATGTGTGAAAGATTACCAAAATACCCTTGTAGGAAAAAAATTAAAAAAATTTGAAACGTGGAGGGCATCAAACCACCCTCCTCCCATTCTTCCCCCCCTTGCCTCAAGCTATCAAATCCACCATTTATGAAAAGATGAGTCACCTATTCTAAATTGATGACTCATCTAGCCTAAGATTCTTCAATCATGAATTTATTCTCTTTCTCCCCATTCATTGTGTGAAGACCCCTATTTAAAATATATATATATATATAAATATATATTAGTATGTGTAATTATCTTGGTATGTATATGTAAATATTGTTGTTATACTTTTATATTAATTATTATGAATATTATTATAATAATACTTATATATTTATATCTTATTACATATATTATTCTATTATATGTATACATATATCTTAATATATATGTGTGTATTACATAAATATATTATTCTATTATATATATATATATGTGTGTGTGTGGATATGTATTAATAGACCTTGTTAGTTAGTTTTGTCATAGACCTTATTAATAGTCCTTGTACGTGTCAAAGTGAAAACCATGTTAAGCAGCAAGGTTAGCCAACTCACCAAAGAGAAAAGGATATGATTGGAGGAGTTGGAAGAGTCACAAAGACATTCTTCCTTATCTGCTATATATATTACTTGGTTAGGAAGTATAAATCAACCGCTAGTACACCATCCAATAGAAAGTGTTTTACTGCCGATATAGGACGTGAGTTGCACAACAAATGAAAAAAACAACTAGAGAGAAATAGTGGTAGAGAGGAGTATGAAAAAGAGTGAGAAACTGAGTTTGTGAATGCGGTGGAAAATTGGGAAACACCTTACATTTCTAGAAAAAGCTTTGGTGTCAAGGTAGGGGTTTCTTGGGGGCCTTTATGAGGATTGATCTAATTAAATTTCGTGAGCTCTATATTATGTGTGATATTGTATAATGTTCTTGATATAAGATATTTACGTATTGTGAACTATTTGAATAATGTTGGTATAATTATACCATGTCATGGTAATTGGTTGGAGTTGTTGGATTGAGAAAATAATGATGGAAAAGAGGGTAATAGAAATAGCTTTTGTGTAGTTGAGTCTAACTCTTGGTAGGTACCAAGTCTCAGGGATCCCACAGTGCACATGGTTTTTATTGGGTGATTCGAGATTGGCGAAAGGGAGTCAGACAAGATGACTAACAAAAGGGGAATTACGGGATGATTGAGATGGATGTTAGTTCATATAAATGGGCATTCGGGACCAAGTGGTATAAGCATGGTATGGGACGTGCATGTCTGCTTGTCCAGTTATATGAATTAACGGGAATAGATGAAGAGCATTCATTCATGCATTATTATTAATAATGTGATATTTTGGTTGTGTGATTGCATGTCACTTAATTTAGTTATATCAATCTATTGCGGTAAGGTCTCATGTCCCTACTGAGCTGTGGTTGCTCACCCCTCACCCTGTTTAATTTTTCGGATGAATTAGTGGGCAAGAAAGGGAATAAACCAGTTGAGGCTGAATTAGATGAGAGTGATAGAGCTTTATTTATTGTAAAGTTGTAAGATTTTGGATCTATTTTTATAAGAGAAGTTTATTTTAAACCCATGTTTCGGCATATTTTTATTTTATTTTAGTTTTTATTTTCTCATGTACTGGGCGCGGGGTTTCCACCGACCCCCAAATCCGGGGTGTGACACAATATTGTATCATCACTCTCTTCTAAATTGATGACTCACCTAGCCTAAGACTCTTCAATCATGAATTTATTCTCTTCCTCATCATTCGTTGTATCATCACTCTCTTCCTCATTAACAATATTTTCAGCCTCATTCTTCTTTTGTTCCTCTAATCCAAAATTCATCACTTCCTTGCAGCAGCCGAGAGCTCAAATGAGAAAACTTCCTTCATATAAGATGTTCATTTACATGATTCCTATAACATGCTCCATTTTTACCTTAATCCAATTAGTACAGACTCCGAAAAGTTGGTATGATCACAGTAAGTTTACCATTTCTTGATTTCACAGTAGTATGCTTGGTTTCAATATATTTCTAAGACTTCATGTACTCAAATGACTTTGGTTCCTTCATCAAAATTGTTTCAAATGATGTCTATTATAATATATCAAAATTTTAGGTTGATCAGACTTCTATAGCCACCTTGGGAACATTTAGAGTGGAACTTGTTTATAGTCTTCGACCCTAGTTCCTTCCCTCGTTTTCAGTCCAGAACACTCATTTCGAAAGCTCAAAACACTATGATTTCTTCATGATAGCTACTCCAAATTTTCCTCTTTATAACATATTCAAAGGTCAGCAAAACGTAACCATTACAACTCTTTGAAAATTGGTATGAACAAAACTTGTTCATTGATTATATTGAATTTTTTTGTTATAGATGTGTACTTTCTCTCAAATGACTTGTTACTTGTCATTCAATTGATCAAATTAGCCACTATCATCTCACATAAATGATTCTTTGAATGTATGAAGCTCATCTTCTTATTGTCTATTTGATTACTAGTTGTAAATCAAGTGCTGGTTAGAATGCCTCAATGACATATATCTCTTTCAAGGTATGTTTCTGTGAATTTCTAGATTATTTCGATGTGATTTTGTACCAATTTCATTATGGGATTTTTTTACATCAAAATTGATATCTCAGGGGTTATTTCAAAGTTGGTTTTGTGCCATTTAAATTTAAATTGAGTTTTTTTGTGAAATTTCAAATTAGAGATTGGAATTGTTCTGATTCTATCGCATGCCCTGTTTTGAATACGTGTTTGAAAACTTCCTGAGCTTGGATTTTCATGAAATTTTAGCATGTTTTACTTTCACGTATTTTCTTCAAATCTGGAAAGTTTTATCAAGTTTTGTTGTAAATTGAAATTTTGGTGAGTTTTCAAATTAAAGTGTACAAACCTGGAAAAAAGAACATTCTGCAGCCTAGTCTGTTTTGGTTTCTATTTTGACATGCTTCCTTAACCCTAATTTCCATCAAATTTTGACATTTTTAATTTTTCTATGTCTAGTTGTGAGCTTTTTACATTATTTTGATATAAACTCAATATTTAGTGAATTTTCAAAGTTAACGTATTCCAACCTAAATGTTTAGAGCAAAACTAAAGTTTTTGTTTTAAATTTTCTTTATGAGTCTAGAGCCGAACCACCTAATTTTAAACATCCCAAAGAGTAGAAATATTATAGGAGAGGAATAGATTGGTTTTTCCTTGACGCTTGGTTCTATGCCTGCTTGGACGTGAGGTTAAGGGAGTAATGATCAGGTCGAACAACTTGTCAAGTGTATTATGGGGGCTTTAAGTCTACGTGTGCCAGTAGGACACTCAAACGTGTTTCTTTTTTTCCAGTGAATTTTTAATCAGTAAATTATCTTAATTAGGTATTCTACTTTGCGTACTTTCGAGGCCGAACTGCACAAGGTTAAGCTAGCTGGACATGAGGTAGGGTTTCCTGATTTCCCAATAATAGGGCTATGTTACTTTTAATCTTGATCCTTATATATAATATTATAAATATGAATATTATTGTTTCTTTTGAATATTATTTGATGTTATGTAAATATTATTATTTATATTTCTCCATGGATATTATTTTTGACGTTGGATGAATATTATTATTCATGTGATGAAGCTTGGAATATTATTGTTAATATTTGTATTATTATTCCGCACATATAAATGATGTTTGCGCTGCATTACATCTGCATCATATGTAACACCCCGACTCCA